GCTTCAGCGCTGCACCTGCTGCATGGCAGGGAAGAGTGCATGGTCACAGTCAGAGAGCTGCACCTGCTGCATGTCAGGGAAGGGTGCATGGTCACAGTCAGAGAGCTTCAGCACTGCACCTGCTGTGTGGCAGGGAAGAGTGCATGGTCACAGTCAGAGAGCTGCACCTGCTGCATGTCAGGGAAATGTACATGGTCACAGTCAGAGAGCTGCACCTGCTGCATGGCAGGGAAATGTGCATGGTCATAGAGAGCTGCACCTGCTGCGTGGCAGGGAAATGTGCATGGTCATAGTCAGAGAGCTGCACCTGCTGCATGATAGGGAAAGGGTGCATATGTGGTCATAGTCAGAGAGCTGCAGACCTGCACCCGCTGCGTGGCAGGGAAAGGGTGCATGGTCATTGCGTGTTGGCTGTTCAGGAGCACATGCACCACATCTGGGGTGGGTGCTGATCATGAGAGACTATGCAGTCTTGAGGATGGGGTAATCCGTCCTCTGCTTGACTGCGCCTTCCCTGGGTGTACAGAATCTTCCATCTGACAAGCATCCCTCACCAAGGTAGGGCATCTGTTGCAAGTGGTGAGCCTCCATTGGCTCATTCCCTCCCCACCCCCCAGGTCCTCACTTTACAGAACGGTCCCTGTGGGTGCTGTGCAGCCCACAGATTTGAACAAGCATGTAGTGAAATGTACCGTCATTACATACAGGGTAGTGTGACTGCCTTACATGTCAGAGGCATGTTTTCTCCAGTGGACACAGTGGCTTTGCCCCCACCTCTCTCCTGGGACATCCTTTCTGTGCACAGCCATCCATACGGGAATGGGAAGTCCACCCGAGATCCTGCCAGACATTAGTGGGCCTGTGATTCCATTCCCAGCATTCTCTGGAGTTTAACTTAAGAAAATAATAAGAATCCTATAGGATCAGTGATCTCACTCACTTGGACGACAGTAAATCTCTTCTATATTACTGCTCAGCCTCTGAGAATATTATATTGGGTCTCATTTTATTAAAGAATGCCATGCATACCCAGAGTCACTGCTTAATTTTTAGCTGCAAGATACAATTTCAAAAAACCATTATCTAGAAAGTGCAATAATCAAACAATGTAATCATGGATGTTAAACCTCTTTGAAATATTATTTTAAACGCTTGCCAGCTGGAAGGGAAGGTTGACAAGGAAGTATCTGACTTGGCTGCCTTTCTCATGCGCCTGAGCAGCTACACTTTATAATAAGATATATTTGCTAAAATGTGTTTTTCTCTCTGCTTGATTGTTTTCGAAACTACCAAAGAATGCAAAGCCCTTAAACTAGGAAGACAGATTTGCATTTCTATTTGTTTCAGCCTAAGATTTAGGATTAACCCGGTAAGAGGCACAATTGAATCATTCTCAGAGGAGCCGGGCCGTTCACACACATCACCGAGTGCCTCTGAGCTCTCTGGCTGCTCTGGGAGATCAGACTCATAAATTTCATGACATATGGAAAATATCAGAAAACCGCAGCATGCATTGTAAGATGGCCCAGAGAACCAGGCTGTCAATGTCGTGGCAGACCCGGGTGATAGCCGCTCTTTCTACTGCCCACCCCTAAGTATCCCCAGAAAGGGTCAACTTGGCCAGGGGCTGAGAATCTCGAACATGATCCAGCTATTTGTGGATAGCATAACGTCCCACCCAGAAGGGGTGAGGCAAGGGCAAGGTTCTGGACCACAGTGAGAGCTTCCAGGAAAAGCATTCTCTCTCTCTCTCTCTCTCTCTCTCTCTGTCTCTCTCTCTCTCTCCCTCTCTCTCTCTCCTTCTCCTCCAGTCTTTGGCACATATTACTCCCATCTGGAATGCTATCCCCTGCCACACACACACACACCCTGCTTCTTTTGCTGCTTTCTCTCTCTCTCTCTCTCTCTCTCTCTCTCTCTCTGTTTGTATGTGTGACTGCATATGTTGTGTGCGTGTACATGGTGTATACTCATGTAGAGGTGTGTTTCTTAACGGCTCTCCATTTTAGTTTTCGAGGTAGGATCTCTTGTAAAACCCAGAGTTCACCAAGCTGGCTGAGCTAGCCAGTGTACACTGGGGACTCCTAGTTCTCGGAGTCAGAGCCGCAGTACACACGCTTATGTGGCAAGCACTGGACTCATGAGCCATCTCGTCGCCCTGGAACGCCGCTCTAGCTCAGCGACACTCTGTCCCCCCACACCTCCCGTGCCTTCTCCCCACTTCTCTTCCTGTGCTATAACATACATTCTCACACACCGAGGTCCATTTCCTTATGTGATCTGGATTCTACAGTTGCATGTGCCTGGGTGGTCCATGGGAAGACACATGATGCTCTTGCTTGGCTGGGAGCCCTGAGGAAAGACCAGAAATCAGTCTTGGCTCCTGGTTTCTTTTACTTACAGAGGGTCTCGGCCTTAAGTGTGATACCAGGCCTTATCTATAAAATGTGGCTGATAATGGTGCCTACTTATAGGGTGTTGTGAATTCTTAGTAGCCTAAATGTATATTAATATTATACTTAGATATCTTGCGTAACTCACAGGGTCATGGATCACAGTTAACTCTCGTTTGTCATTATGACGTCATTTTAAATGCTCTGACTCCAGTGGGTCCATGCTATAGACCAGGTCATCATGTAAATAAGTCAGGGCTATTGAGATTACTCACTGAAGTAGTTTTCTGGGGCCAAGGAAAAGATTTGTTTTGTTCTTGCTCCTCCCCCAGTGACCTTTCTTTGGAGTTTAACTGACTAAATCACATCATTTAATCATTGCTTCATACATGAAAAACTCAAATCAGCTTTCACTCACCCCTCCTCCCAGAACCTCCCCCCCCCGAGTCCTGGGTCCTGGGGAACCCGACCTTGGATGGCACCTCAGACTCCAAGGTCAACAGAAGTCATAGGCCCAAGAAGGAAGAGGGAAAAGCGTAGCAGCTCCTCGCCACCACGTACAGGCAGAGTCGTCCCCGGCTTGGTTTGGAGATGGCTGCTGGCTCCAGCTTTGTGGTAAGTCCTCGGGCCCTCTGGCCTGAGCCCCACGCTGCCAAGGGTACATAGAGCCATGTGTGGGCATCTGTGTGAGAACGCAGGGCGGGGTGTCAAGCCAGTCCGGAAGCATGAGTGGAATGGGCCTCTGTCTGCTGCTGGCCCTTGAGTTATGTTTGGAGTGAGAAAGAGAGGAGACAGGAGAGGAGGGCAAGACACTCCTAAGAGAATGGAGAAAATGAGCCGGTCTACCAGTGTGGCCAGGGGTTGATGTGTCAGGAATACTCCAGGATGGGGACACCAGGGGTAGAAGGGGTGGACCTTACTGTACAAACAGAACTTGCATTTGGGGAACGGGCAACGTCACCAATGTTTTCAACTGAAGAGCCATGCAAGAATTTGGAGAAGGGATTCAGGGTCTGGCTGTAAAGAGGAAGGGCTGGTGAACAGGTCTAGAGGGGTTTTCTAGTGAACCACTTCAAGTTTGATTTCACTGGTTCCTTGGCAAGCAGCAGGGTTTCCCAGAGGCCATGGTACCAGAGTCAAATGACAGTGCACACAGGGCTACCCAGCACCCATACACGGGCAGCCCAATTCCCCTTAACAAAGCCATGCAGTTCAGGGCAACAGTGGGTGCACCCCTGGGACAAGAGACGTTTCCTCACATGTGACAGACATTGAGTGTGCCCGGTCCTGGTGTTTGCTCTGAGCAAGGGCTCAGGGGAAGGGAGATAAACTCAGAAGGAGGGCAAAGTAACAGCAAGGATGTTTGGAAAAGTCTTAGGCAATCATGCTATTAATTATCTACCCCAAACACCCATAATACACATAATACTGCAATATATATATATCTTAAATGAAATTGTTTCATCTCGGCTGATGGTGCTCCCTCCAAGGGCCAGAGACCATCTAACAAGAACTCCAACACCATGCATGAAAAACCTTCATTTGAGTCGTTGGTCAGGGATGTCCGTTAGACTCCCCAAACATAACAGGCTATTGTTAGTGCCCGTGGTTCCCCGACAAGCGAAGGGAAGTCCCTAGTGATAAAGACACCGCGCACTGCAGACACAGGGAACCTGATCCGTGATAGCACGGCATGATACTAGCGGCAGTGGCACACGCACTATGGCAGTGACCACCAGTTCTCTGATTTAACTTAAGACCTGGTCAACAAGATGGACATCGTGCTTGGTCCTGGAAACCCAACCAGCTACCCAGGGCTGGTGAGGCTGTGGATCTTGGAAAACTGACAGCTGCCACTTAACCAAACGATACCCACAGGTAAATGTGGTCCTCACTCCTCGTCAGGGAAACTTCTCTTTACACTAAGTAGAGATTGTTACAGAAAGCTACAACTAATCAACATGCAGGATGAGTGTGCACCCACACGGATACAGCTACAAACACTCCCACACCCAAGGCTCATGGAACATTACAGAAGAGGAGTGGAAAGATTGTGAGAACCACAGGATCAGGGAATTTGCTATGAGATGGTGTCTCCTAGTAACGTCAGAAGCTACATCCCCTGAGTCTCGCCCATAAGACTATTCAAATGTGAGTTGAACAAGGCCAGTACCAGCAGACTTACTGGAATAGATGGGAAAGGCTTCAATCGTGCACAGGGGACGCAGACCCGTAAAAGATACTGAGGGTGGACAGGAGGAGCAATTTTCCCCAGGAAAGAGCACTCCAGTTGGTTATCCAATACCAAGTGGTCAGCCCCGAAAATATATATATAATTAACAATGTATGTGTATGTACATAGATGCACATCACAACAATTAATGGAAGAAGAGGCAGTGGGTTTGAAAAAGACCTAGAGGGAGTGAGAGAGAAAGACAGGACAGAAGTTCCTCCATCTTCTGTTCCTGCTGAGGCCATTTCAGGCTTGACTAGAATTTGATCTCCTTGATGGCAAGCCCCTTGAAAATGGCCCAGCTCTGTTCTAGGAACCTCAAGTCAAGATGCTCAGCTAGCTTGGTTTCTGTGAATTGGCTTTTATTGTGCAAAACTCTCCAGGGAGCTGCTGAGCAAGATAGCAGGGTGTAGCTTTGCCTTCAAAAGCCTCTTCCTCTCAATGCTCACGGCTACACCTAGGTCCCAGTCTTTGAGCACAGACTTTCAACTGGCAGCGGACTGTGTCTGTGTGGTCCTCTCTGGTGGACTCTCCGGATAACAAGTGGTGTATGGAAGGGTTCTGAGGGAAGAAAGAGAAGGGGCAAAGGATGCATTTATATCACAATCTCAAAAAACTAAAAGAAATATATTTGTTTTTAAAGAGAAAGAAGAGCTGGGTGGTGGTGGCACATGCCTTTAATCTCAACCTCTCAGGAGGCAGAGGCAGGTGGATCTCTGAGTTCCGGTCCAGCCTGGTCTACAGAGTGAGTTTGAGGACAGCCAGGACTACACAGAAACCCTGTCTCAAAAAAAAAAAAAAAAAGAAAGGAAGGGAGAAAGGAATGAAGGAAAGAAGGAAGAAAGAAAAGAAGGAAGGAAGGAAAGAAGGAAGGAAGCCAAAGATTCCATCCAGGCCCTGGAAGTGTGTTTCTAGGATCTCAAAAGTGAGCTGGATGACTAGGAGGTCAGAGTGGCTGCAGCCCCTTGGTGACACGAGGAATGGCTGCCCCAGGACAGAGCGGACCTACGGACAGGAAGGGGAGAACGAGAGAAAGCAAGACTCAGAAACTAGGTGGGCTTTTCCCGAAGTCCTCTGACTGTTCAGCTGCAGGAGCAAACACACGTTTCTGGCTCAGAAACTCACAGGGAATAACATCTTGTTGGCCGCTTCTAAGCTTGGCTTTAAAAGCCACTAAGGGATTGGCTGACATCACTGTTAAAAAACTGTGGAAGCTCTGCACGGGACGAGGCCACGTCCTCCCTGGTCCCCTACCGCAGTGGCGCGCTGCCACCTGCTGGCCTCAGAGCAGAACGGGCCCCAGAAAGTCGCCTGAGAGTGAACGCCTGAAAACAACCTAGCAGGGTCCCTAGGACGAGTCGGTCTCTGTTAATGTGTTTTTTCTGGGCGTTTATACCCTGGTCTCGTGCAACCTAACCCAGACTAGGTTCCAACTGCTCCACAGCCGAGGCTGACCTTGAACGTCTGACCCTCCTGCCTCCGAGCACCATCTCGGCCGGTTAGCAGGTTACCTTTATATTTATAATCAGAAAAATATACATCTCACTTTAGGAAACACAGTATTTCGTATCTTATGACATTGGCTTTTTTTTTTTCTTGAAAAGTAACACCCGCGACCACGGAGATCCGGTCCTGCGGTCTCCGTTCACTCACTGATGGGCTCGTCCTGTGTCCCCCCCCCCCCCCCCCCCCCCCCCCCCCCCCCCCCCCCCCCCCCCAGCAACCTCCGCAAGGGTAGGCTTGACCGTCTTTGACTTTCCCTAGTGTTTAAGGATTTTCGGAATGTCTGTCCTAATCCAGACAATACCGAGTTCGGCCGCTTTGGAATCTGGCGTCTTTCAGAGTCACGCCACAGCCCAGAGTCAGGACTTCCAGGATAACCAAAAGAAGCCAAATTCCCTCTGGCCTCGGGCTGCGGCGGGCGAGCCAGGATAGTGGCAATGGCCTGATCCCACCGGCAGGTGGCGCCGCGTAGCCTGCTCCGTCCGGACCGCGCCTGAGGCCCACGCAGGACCCTCATCTTGCTCAAGCCCGCTTTCCACCCGCCAGTGTTAGATCTATCACACGGCTTTGGCTTCCGTCCCTGTAAGCTCTGCAACTCACCGAGGCCTGATACCCACCCAACCCGGCCGGCCCCCTCCTCCTGGGACTGGCAGGACACCTGGCCGGCTCGCTCCAGAGCAAATCAGGTGACCACGTCTCATGCTCCATCTACTGGACATCCAGCCAGCACTAATAGACACTGGGTTTTAAAAACACAGGCACAAGAAATTGGGAGGGGAAAGCGGCGAGGAAACAGTTCCACAGCAATTCTAGGACGCAGACACCCCGACAAGACCACTTCACAGAAGGGCTGCAGGGACTCAGAGACAGTCAGTAACTTACCCGAAGTCTACCGCACTAAGTGGAGAATCTGCCAATCTTCTCGCTATTTCAAGGTTCACCCACTTTCACCCATTCGGCTACCATGTAGAGGCTTTTTCTATCTGCCTCTGGGCTGTTTGAGAGCCACCAAACGCCAAGAAGACACCCAGGCCCTGTCTTGCATTCCTGAAGAAGACGAACCCTTCCTCCCCCAGCAGCACCTACCTGCCAATTTTCGGATGCAGAGTCTCGTGGAGTCACAGCAAGTCTCAAAGACGATGATGATGTCATGTGCCTTTCTCTTGAATGCTGGGATTCAGGCGTGTGTACCACACAGGCTATACCTGGCTTTGTGTCCCTTGGCAGCCGGCACAGGATCAGAAACAGAAATGAATCACAGTGGGTTCAGTGCCCACGAGCAGAGAAGCCCCCAGAAGGGTCCTTCATCCTCCCAAAGACTACCCTTGTTCCCCACCACGCCACGTGGTTCCTGGACGGGTGCAGAAGTGGCACCCGGCAGAGAAACAGGACAGGGCCACAATACGTGGCCCAGGACCTCAAAACATTCCTCGTTTCTAGTAACTTCACAAAAGCTGGTGCTGCTCCTCCCCCAAAACCCGTCTTCTGGTTTCTCCTGAAGAACAGACAGCTCTGGTAACTTCGGACCCCTCGGTAGAAGGCAGTGCTCAGTGCCGGCTGGACGACAGCTCCTGGCTAACACCATCCAGTTTTGGGCACATCCCAAATCGTTGTTCGTCCATTGGCTCCTCTGGGTCCTGTGCTTTGAATACTCACCTGGAGAGACATCAGATCTGGGCACATCAGACACACCCGGGGGTCAGCGCAGGTAGCTAGCTACCAGGTACCTTCTCTTCTATCAATCACCTCGGCTTTTGCAAAGTCTTTGTCCTGGTATAGTGGTGTTGAGAACAGATAGGCCCACACCCCAGCAACTTCTGACAGTTGTGCAGACACATTGAGCAGGGACCCCCCAAGCATCTCATCCCTTGACAAAACTCCACCGTGCTGGGCACGGTAGCATGAACTTGTGATCCCCACTCTCAAGAGGCCAAGGCAGGAAGATATCGAGTTGGAAGCTGGTCCCGAGTGGGTGGTGGTGGCACACTTCTTTAATGCCAGTACTCTGGAGGCAGGGGGATTTCTGTGAGTTTGAGGGCCAACCTGGCCTACAGAGTGAGTTCCAGGACAGGCAGGGTATGCGTAGAGGGCCTGTCTCATAAACTACATCAGCAACAATCACCACACCACCCTTTTGTCAAACATTAACCCAGAAGCAGAGGCTGGTAGACGCTTGCCGCAGGAGCTGGTGGGCCCGAGGTCCATCCCCAGAACACATAGTAAAATGCCAGGCATGGTGACGTGCATTGGTAATCCCAGTGCTGGGGACGGAGACAGGCAGGTCCCTGGGTTTGCTGGTCAGCCAGCTTAGCTGTCCACTGAGTTCTAGGCCAGTGAAATACTGTGTCTTGAAACCCAAGGTGAACAGCTCCTATGGTGTGACTCCAGAGGATGACCTCTGGCCTCTACATCCATCAGGCTTATACATATAATGCAACACACACATACATACATACACACACACACCACATACCCACACACCATATGCACATTTACACACACCACACACACTACACACATGTATACATACACACCACACCACCCATATGCTACACATACACACACCACATATATACATACATACCACACACACACACTACACACACATATACACAAACCACACACACACACACCACATATACACATACATACCACACACACACACACAGACACCACACACACCACACGGGTGCGTGGCCTGGTACAACACCATCCACTTCCCTCCTCTCCTGAGGTTTGGCTTCTGTGACGCACCTGACCCCCGAGACATTCGCTTCTCTCTGCCGCAGTTCTCGCAGGGACAGAATGGATACAGAGAAAGCTAGCCTTGTGTCAGTGGGGCCATGTGTTTGCATCCTGAGACCTGGGAAAAGCTGAACAGCTGTGAACTGCCAGGCTAGAGCTTAACAGCTTAAAGAAATCAAACATGTTAAAGCAACACAGAGCAAAAGCAGAGAGAGGCAGCCTCTCATAGGAGCCAATGTCCACCTGACACAGCCTGTGTCGTCCGTTCTTCTAGAGAGCGAGAAGGCCTCCAAAACTGGCTGCTGGCTTCACAGAAAAATCACAGTCCCTTGACGAGGCTTTCTCATGACAGACTTCTTTCTTCACGAGTGTCGGCCTTCTCATGTTGACAGAGACTTCGCATAGCGTCCTGCTCGGGCCTTTGCTAGACCTTTGTCTCCTCTGACCCTTCCCTCACTCTGGTAGCTCCAGGGCGGCGCTTTGGCAAGCCACTACGTGCCAGCTCAGCTGAGCACGGTGAGAACATTCACCTGGCATGACCAAGACCTGGCCATCCTGTCACTTCATTTAAAAAAAAAAAAGAAAACAAACTATCTTTTTTTATTTCACACACCAATCCCGGTCCCCACTCAACCTGTCACTTAATAAGACTTGGTCCAGATTAGAGTCTGCTCAGGGTACACACGGTTCTGTGGAGTTGCTTCCAACAGAGGAATGCGCTCTACTGGGGTGAGGGAGCACAGGGTTAGTTTTCAGAGCTGGCCGTTGGAAGGTAACGCACTGTTTCCTGTTACTTTTGTAACAAATACCACAAACTGGAAGCCTTAGAACAATACACGAGAATGGCAGGCTGGGAGGCACCAAAGAAGAATCTTTCCGTTGCTTTTTCCAGCTTCTAAGCCCACCAATAAATAGCTCTTAGACGCTGGCATCCTCTTCCCTCATCGAAGCCAAGAGCAGTGTTTCCTGTCTCTGATGTTGCTGTCACCATGGCTGTCTCTGGCTGACCACAGACAGTGCGTGTGACTGGATTGAGCCTAGGTATTATAGCCAGGGTAACCGCCCCACTTCAAAGTTATCAACTTTGATTATGCCTGCAAAGTCATTGTTTGGGGTCCAGCTGTGGCCCCGTGAATTCCTCACCCTCCTGCTTCACACTGTGATCTCAGGCGCAGTTGGTTAGGATGAGATCATAAAGGGGCCCCTGAGCAAGTGTCTCTGATGTCCTTAAGGGAAAGGGAGTTTTAGACACAAGCCCAGAGACAGACGTGCAGAAGGAAGTCAACACGGAGACGTCTGGGAGGAGGTGCCTATTACATGCCAGCATCAGGGAGAGGCGTTCCTTACTTGGAGTCCTCGGAAGGAGCTGGTGCTGCTAACACTTAGATTTTAGACTTCAGTCCCTAGGGCAGTGAGCTAATACTTCAGAGTCTCATGTAAGCCACCCACTTTGTGGTACTCTGCAGCAGTGTTCTTAGCAAGTGAACACATTCGCTGTACGGTGTGAGGTAACACATTTACAGACTCTGGGGCCTGCAACGTCTTTGTGCAGAGAAGACTCTGGCTGCCTGTTACAAGGTTAGACAGCGGATCTTTAGCATGGGCTCTCTTGGTTCATCTCAGTTCTGTGCTCACCAGCCCGTCGGCCTCTAATGAAATGGAGACTTTCAGGGATGTCTAACCTGCTGACATTTGCAACACGACCTCGTCATCTGCGAAGTCCGGCTGAAAACTGCACAACCATTCCCCAAAGCTTCACAACATTCCAAGCAAGTTTAAATTGTGTAGTGGCTGGATTTATAGCTGGACTTGGTTGCATGTGGACACACCTGCCCTCAGATGAAATGTCGGCCTATTGCTACACGTAGCCAGTCAGCACAACGGCAAACTCCAAACAACTGGTGTTTGTATGTAAACACTGACCAGCCTCAGGACTTATAAACTACAACGGAATGTGTATTCTCTTCGTTTGTGAGAAGAATTCAGCGGGCATTGCTGGTTACTTCCTAGAATAAGCTCAAACCCATGTATAGTGTTAGCCTCTGAGGTGAGGGGTTTCTCTGTGAAAGTAAGCAAGGATCTCTTACAGCTTTTGGAAGCAGCATGCGTAAGTGGACCTGTGAGAGCTGAATGGGGACCCTCTCACCCGCAGGTCTCTAGGCTGCATATTGGTTTAGACAACAGAGACTGAGTGACGGTTGCTGAGACAGGAAGAACAGTGCAGAAAAATAAACCTGTGGTTGATAATTACGTAACAGGGTCATACTTGCCCCCTGACACCCCCCAAATCCAGGTCCCATAGCAGTGCACTGCCCACTTGAGTCTAGATTCTCTTCAGGTTGGATGGTGCTACAGGGCGTCCTGGATGCTGCGTTGTCCTCAGCTGCTCGCTTCCAGCTTTGATCCTCTAACCGGAAGGTCAAAGCAGCCCATGAGAGGTCTGAAACCCCCTCGCTGCCAGCTCAGGCTTAAAAACATCAGAGACCACCTCCGACCCAAGACGTCCAGGTATCTAATGTGGCATACGGGTCCAGCCTGTGTCTCCAGTGTCCCCGTCCACTGCTCCACATCACAAGGGTCCAGCCTGTGTTTCCAGTGTCCTTGTTCACTGCTCCACACACCAAGCTGCTATTCTAGTTGGACCCTGAACATGGCAGTTGACGACCAGATTTAGCGTCACTTGTGGTACATAGAAAACAATGCGGTCTCCTGATCCAGACTCCATTAGCAGCTATCTGAAGCACTTCCCGTGTACGCTGTAGCTGAGGGCAGTAGCCAGGGCCCTTCTGTCTCTGGCATGCCCTCTCCTGTCCTGTCTGAGGTAGCATTCACATCCACTTTCTCCCCATGGGGCTCACCCTTACAACACGGCTTTAACAGGGTCCTGTCTTTCTTCAGATTTCCCATTTCCTAGTTATTAGAAACCATGCCTTTCTACCAAAGGAGTTGGTGCCTGACTACGTGTCCCTTTCCCCAAGGTGACCTAATGCAGTGAGAGTCCCACACAGTGCTCAAGTGCAGCCGCCATGATGGCTCCCACTGGCTGTGCATCTGTGCTCTGCTTTCCCTCTGGACTTGACCCATTTCATTTATATTCCCTTGTTCTGAGTTTTACACACTTGCACTTGGATTTTTATTTTATATGTTTCTGTCACAATCTGCCTCAGATCCTTCCTGAACCAAAGCAAAAAAGAAATAAATTATTCATCTCAATATTCATACCACCTGGACAACGTCTGGCAGACAGAAACAGCTCAACGACGATGTTAAATTTAATCGCTGCTTAGAGGAGCTTTTGCTGCTTTTTATCGTCGTGTCCAGAATTAAGTCTGCTAGGAGGAGTTCTGATGGGGATTTCATGTTTCTGTCCTAGATCTCAGCAGTCCAGTGGCTGCAATTTCCATCTCCACCCCCAATGAAAACCCATTTCAGGAACTTGGACTCTTCAGGTGGGTCTGTGATTAATTGTGAAATTAGGGGAATAGACAACCAGGAAATAAGGAAGGAGACAGAAGGATGCCTCTCAGGGAACGTGGAGCCCAAATGAAAGTGCACAGGACAGAGAATAGGTCCCAGGACAGGGTGGGGGACTCAAGTCAACGCCAACAGACCAAGGATGAGGAACCACATTAGGTCAGGCTGTCTCTGAAGACAGCAATTTAATGTCCCAAGCGTGACGGTAAAAACAAGTGTGCTCAGGCCCAGACCTAAAGACACCAACATCAAATTGCTGCACGATAAAACTGTGAAGAAAGAGGAGAAAAATCATGAGTTAAGAAAAAAACATCGATCTCACTTTTTATACTCATTTTTCTTCAATTTACATATAATGTTTCCTTGAGGAAAACCATCTTCTCCACTCTGATATATTATATCTGAAGGAATCACAGCAGCGCCCACATCTCTTTAGACTGGAGGTTTATTTTTCCTAGGGAACGTGTGAGCGTGTGCAGTCTTGACTTTCATTGTCACCTCAGCTTCCGGAGGGGTCCCTCACACTTCCAGCTAGCAATTTTCAAATTGGAAAATTCCACTCAATTGGAATTTTTCCCCATGGGGGAGGATCAAGGTATGCTTACTGATCGATTGTTACACATATCCAAAGACATGTGACACAGAGTGTCTAATTTAAATTCGCTTTCCAGATAGATTTATTTCTATCAAACATCAATTCAATGTGTTGACTTTAATCATATTTTCTTCATGAAAACTTAAGGAATCTGAGAGAATTCTTTGAACAACATAAAAGAAAAGTGTCAATTTTAAGTAGCTTACAATGGAAAATTGGTGGAAAAGAAGTTTCTACCAATCATTACCATTTTAGTAAGCATGAACAAGAGATGAAAGTGTTGGTCAGTTGTAATGAAGTCTATGGCGTCATCTTGGTCCAGTGAGCTACTTGCACTGGCTTGGAGGTTAGTCTAGGTCTCAAGGGGTTGAATACTATCTACAGGGGAGTAAGCTCCTCAGGCATGCTCAACCAGGGAGGGGGGTGGTCTGTAGACTGGGCAATGGGGTAAGGGTTATGTGCCAGTCACTCAATGGCAGGGCCAACCTGCTCAGTTGAAACTGATCAGACCCAAACAAGTCTCTGATTTTGTGACCCCCAGACCAACCCTCTATACCATACCAACGCCATCTATCCAAACCTAACTCAAAGTTCCTCTAATCAGTTTCTTTGGGAAAAAGACGTACTTCATTATATGGTGTAGGATGCCCCTCTGTAATGGTGTGAATATTCTTATTACCATTGGTTAACAAAGAAGCTGCTTTGACCTATGACAGGGCAGAATGTAGCTAGGTGGGAAGTCCAAACAGAGATCCAGAGAGAAAGAAGGTGGAGATGGAGAGACACCTACAGCCGCCAGAGGAGTAAGATACCAGAGCATTCTGGTTAGCCACGGGGCACATGGTGATATACAGATTATTAGAAATGGGTTGATTTATATGTAGAGCTAGCCAGTAAAAAGCCTGAGCCTTCAGCCAAACAATTATCATTAATATTAGTCCTTCAAATGATTATTTTATAAACAGCTGTGGGGACCAGTGGGCGGAGGAAAAACCGGCTCAGTGTGACCAGGTGGGAAGAAAAAAAGTCTCCAGCTACGGTTATAACTGTCTGAGACGTTCATTCCTACACACGTGTGCCCACATGGTAATGATACAAGTAACGGCACCCCACACCCTTGTTTGGCTCTTCTTCACATGCCAGAACTTAATCCCTTTCCATCTACCTTGTGCCCCCCCCCTCCCACGGTGTGCTTTCACCGTGGCTCCTCCCGTGATGTCAGAGTCACCTCAGTGATGCAAACCACCATTTCCTTAGTCCTAGCAAGTGTCGTGGGCCGAGAACGCAGCACGCTTTTCCCAGCTCATCCTCACAACTCGTTAAGATGGCTACGCTGTCTTAATTTTCAGACAAAACTAACCCGAAGCTCAGTGAAGC